GAGGGAGGGAGGGGGAGACGAGGGTCTCGCGCATTACTGCTATCTCGCTCTCTCTCGCACTATCGTTCGAGTTGTGCGTCTCTCTCGCGCCGACCACGCAACTGATTCCCACAGCAGTCGCACACGACACCTTTTTGCTGCGGCCGCGTCGCTGTTGCCGCTGCACACAAAGCCAAACGATTTACTTGCAGAAAGTTGGCGGGCGTGTCCCCCCCACCCCTACCCCTCCCTCTCCGGGGCCCCTTTTGTGAGCCCGCTGATAAAACTAGAGACACGAGGAGCCAGCCGGCCTTTGTCACGACCAGCATGTTGGCGCATGGAGCCGGGGAAGGGGGAGCCGAGAGAAAAAACAAAGGGCCGTCGGCGACAGTCCGTCAGTCAGTCAGTCAGTCAGTCAGTCAGTAGTCTATTCTGTCGGATTTCAGTCAGTCATCTATATGAGCCCGTTACGCCCGTCCATGGTCTTTCATGTTGTGATGATGCTTGCGTTTCCTGGTGCTGCAGTTGGCGCTGATCCTGCTCTTGCTTATCCTTCTGACCAATGTTTTCCGGTGTGCTGTGCTAAGCTTGTTGGTGTTCAAAGTAAAATTACCAATCATTACGACTATATTTTGAGTTATTTTTTAGGTTTCTTTTTTAAACTGTTCTGTGTTTGTATATTTTTTTCCCTTTGGTATGAAAAGCTGCGACATGCCGACCGCCGCGCAACACACAATACTGCACAAACACTCGCACACACAAAAAACACAAGTAAACCGCGCACAATTAACAATAAGGAACCATTTTAGTCTAGCTCCACGAAGGCGAGCAGTGGTTAAGAAAATAGAACCAAACCGGTAACATCTGCAAATTTCCGAGTCATAGCCGCCAAACAAGCCGGTGGTCCACTGTAAAAAATATCGTCGTAAATTTACAAAATTTTTGTAAACTCGAATTATAATTTAAGTAGTAAATTTACGAGAGCACATTTTTTACTTGCCAATTGATTTGAAGTCGATACGTACTGCTTGTATTTCTACGATTAACAATTGTAATTTTACAACTCGCGTCAGGGAAAATTTTCCTGTAAACCTACCTACTTTTTTTTTTTACAGTTTTAAGTCGGTTCAGCTAGACCACTGCCTTGCTGGCGAGCTATGACTCGAAAATCTGCAATTATATGCAACCGGTTTGGTTCCTCTCTTTTCCCCCATTCGCCTCAACGGAGCTCAACGGAAGTGGTCTACCAACAAGTTGACAAAACAAGGTAAAAAGACAAGAAACATGTTTCTCTTTAATTTTATAACGGGGCCGGTGATGAGGTCTGATCGGTGGAGGACCCCCCGTGGTGGGTCCCGGGACTATATAAACTCGCTAAAGGGCCAGAAGAGCAATTTCATAATGAAATAACCGGGAGAGGAGACGACCCCTTTCGGCCGCCCCGCCCCGCCCCTCGGCCCCGGGAACAACGTTAAAAGGGACAGCGATAAAACAATGCCCTTCGGTTTTTCGGGCTCGTCGGTGGGATGATAAGGACTATCGGGGGAAAAGCCCGGCCAGGCTTCCGCACTGGAACACGAGGGGCATGGAGGGAGACAGAGAGAAAGAGAAGGGGAGAGAAAGAGAGAGAGAGAGAGGCGGGGACCGCGGTTCGTGGTGAGTGGCCTTTCTCTAGCAGCCCACCCGACACTCTCCCAACTTGTCCTGCCGACCGATAATAAAAAGGGCTGTTCAGCCTGGCGGCCTGGCGGCCTGGCGGGCGACTCACCCAGCACTTTGACGGTGACGGTCCTCTTGGCGGCGTGCGCGTGCTTGGCGCGCGCCGTGCACGTGTACGCGCCCTGGTCGCTGGCGTGCTGCACGTTCTCGATGGTGAGCGTGTTGGCGGCCACGCGCTGCCGCATGATGTTGGGCAGCACCACGCCGTCTGCGAGGAGCAGAAGCAAGACAGTGAGGTGCGTAGGGTAGGTCGGGGGATCGCCGACTAGAATTTTCTTGGGGCACAGGGGCGCACCCCTACACCTGAAGTACGCGAAGTACACCCGTAGGACATACATAGTACACCCTGAGTACCAGGTGTAATTGTGAATACGCAGCAGTGTTGAGGGATTGCATACTATGGCCTCAGGCGCCGTAGCCCTTTACGGGTGTGAAGAGTAGGCAAACCCGCAACAGTGCTGCGGATTCACAGTTACACCCGGTACACTCGAAGTACGTGAAGTACACCCGGAGGACATCCAGAGGACACACTGAGTACACCTAGTACACCCAGAGTACACTCGGAGTACAATCGGAGTACACCCGGAGCACACCAAGTGCGCCATGAGTTGGTTACTCACCCTTCTCCCAGACCACGCTCTCGATGGGGTAGCCCGCCACGGGGCACTTGATGTGCAGCGCCTTGCCGGCCACGGCGATGATGTCCGGCATGGCCCGGACGAAGGGCGGACCTGCAGGACGGACGTTGTCAAATAAAAAACGACAAACAGAGAATAGAGGGAGAGAGAAGGGGGGGGGCGTCTGTGGCCCATCGCTAGGGCGCGCCCGCGCAGCTCATCCCCGGCGCAGCATCCCCATCCCTCCCGCGGACGTATCCCACTCCGCCGCGTCCATCCGTTTGGAGGAAAAAGGAGGAGGGCGAGGGGGGAGAGGGAGGGGAGGGACCGCCGACAAGGCCGGCTGCGGCTGGCACTCGTGCATCATGTCGCTGTAGCGCCGCTGCCGGGTCCGGAAAGTCATGTACTTCCCCGACAACATGGAGGGGCTGAAGCTGAGGGCCCGGGGGGGAAGAGGGGGTCGAAATTGATGGGAGCTGTAGGAGCGGCCGAGGCAGGAGGGGGAGGGGGGAGGAGGGCAGCCGTCGTAGAGGAGGTAGCGGTACCCGAAGCTGCCCGCCCGCTCACCGCCGGCCGGGGCAGGGTAAGCTGCGAGGGGAGCAGCGGCGGGGCGGCGCGGAGCATCGCGAAATGAAATTGGCAGTGGTTGCGAGGTCATAACTCAGGATTCAATCACAGCCGGAGGAGCGGTGGAGGGCGAGCGGCGTAGCGTGGCACGGCGCGGCGCGGGTCCGCCTGCGGCCGGCCGTCCTTCGCCGCCGCTTGCAGCCCACCGCCGCCGCGCGCAGCCCCGCGAGCAGCCCGCACATTACACCTCCAACCCCCCTGCTATCCAGCCGGCAGCAGCTGCTCGGACTACGGCCAGAGCGGCGTTGTTTACAATAATTGTACCTCGCAGTAAATCCTCCCGAGTTTGAAAACAAGCGAGCGAGCGAGGGAGCGGCGGGCGCGGTGTTGGGGAGGGGGGGCACCGCAGCAGCGGCAGCGGTGGTGGTGGTCATGCGCGGCCCAACACGGCGCGGGGCTCTCGAGGTGCGCGCCGCTCGTACATGTAAATTAAAGTAAAATAATAAAGGGCCGGGGAAACTGGGGGTGGTTTTTGGGGGGTGGCGGAAAACAACCGACCGACCGCGCCGCGCGTTGTGTCGACTTTGGCGTTGCGCGGTGTCGTGGTGGTGCGCAACTGGCAACATCTGATGTAAATGTTTTGAAGGTTTAGGAAAAACAGTTTTGAATAACGAGTAACTGTGGCAACCTACCGTAGATGTTGAGCCGGGCCTGGTGCTTGGCCAGGCCGGCGCGGCTCTCCGCCTCGCACTCGTACTCGCCGCCGTCCTCGGCCTTCACGTTGCTGATGTTGACGTGGCTGACCACGTCACCGTACAGCGTCACGTACTGGCCGATCATCACCCTGCGCACACGGAGAGGAGCAAGGGGTCGTCAAAATCGCGCGCCGTTCATCGCGTGACTTTCCGGTTCGTTTCCTTGACTTCCGGTCTGACTTCCGGCGGTGGCGGGGGTCGTTACCTGTCGTTGGGAGGCAGTGGGAAGCCGTCGAGCTTCCAGGACATGTGCGGTGTCGGGTTGCCCGAGGCCGAGCACTTGAGGGACACGCTGGGCCCGGGCTGCATCGTCTGCTCGATGAACTTGTACTGGAGTGTAGGGGCAGCGTCTATAAAAAAATAAAAAAAATATTTTTGAAAAGAAAATATTTGGGAGGAAAAACAAAAACTTAGAAGAAAAGAGATAGGAAAATACCTCCGAGGCGCAGCTCCGCCGCGCCCTGGGCCATGTCGTGGTCGTTCCGCACCAAGCACTGGTACATGCCGCGGTCCTCCTTGGTCACGGCGGCGATGTGCAGCCGGTCGGCGGCCAGCAGCCGGATCCTGGCGCCGGGGTCGCCGCCGACGCCCACGCCGCCGCCGCCGTCGTCCTGGCCGGCCAGCCCGCGGATGGGGCGGCCGTCCTTGAGCCACGTGACCTGCTGGCGCGGGAAGCCCGCCACCTGGCACGTCAGGTCGGCGCTCTTGCCGACGTCCACCGTCTGCCTGGGGGGCAGGACGTGCACGGCCAGCGGCGCCCACACCTGCAGCGTCAGCTCCAGCACCTCGCTGCCCTCGCTGTTGCTCGCGTTGCAGTAGTACGTGCCCGCGTCCGACTCGCGCACCGACGCGAACGACAGCGTGCCGTCGCGCACCGTGAACCGCTCCGCGGCGCCCGCGTCCACCGAGTTCTCCTGGCCCTGGCGCCACCACCTGCAAGGGAACAGGAAAGAAAAAAAATGGATCGTCAGTCGTCGTCGTCTTGCAGGACAGGGAAAAAAACAGCTTGGAGTAGCCTCAAAAAGTTCGCGCCCGGGCGGAAGAAGAAGAACAACAAAAGCACAAGTTGGAATCAGCTACATCATTATTGTATGAGAGACGAAAGGGCACTCCAGGCTACTTAATACGGAAGTGATAAACTCGCACAGATTTATCTGTTTCGGCCAAAGCCCGTACTGTCGTGGTAGTTGCGGGCACTTCCTTAATCTCTCAAATATTAGGAGGCGATGGAAACTGATCTGCCAGTTTATCAATTTATCATCCTAACGGAGGCACGTTACACTTTATTCGTCCAGTGAGCCATTGCGGCAAAAGCGAAATCCGTGACTTGGTTTTTGATTTTACGTCCGCTATAAATATACTGGAATAATAGATTATTGCTACCGTTTCGGCCACCTGAGCTCTTTCAGATACGGCAATAAAGACCCAACTCCTCGGTTGTGTTCTTCTGCGCTTCTGCATACATACAGATCCAAGATCCAAGATCCAATACCAAATATTTTAAAAAGACAAATATTGCTTCGTAGGCCCCCTGCACCAAAATTTCAAAGGAGCCGAATGTTTTATACAGCCCATTTCCTTTTCTTTCTCAACACACTTGCATTTCCAGTGCACATTTACAGCAGCGCCTTAATACTGCGGTCTGTTGAAGGGGTCGGGAATTGCCCCCCCACCCTCCAATAGTGTGCTTTCTTACTTTTCACTTCTGGCCCATTACCAGGAAGCAGAAGTGGCGGAGACCGTAGACAATTAAAAAGGGCGTAATCCTCATACCAACTCGGAGTGCTTGCTCGGCGATTCTCTCTCTGTCGAGGCATCAATTTTCCCGACCTTTTTAACTGCTCC